GTGCATCGCTTCTAGTAACAAGTGCCTTACTAGTAGTAACAAGAAGCCATTAGAAACAGACAATGCATGTCACCACCATCCTCACCGTCGCAGGTATCAGACACCAAAGAAGAGACCCGACCTGTTGAGCAGCGCATCAAAGTGAAGTGCCTTGGAAGCGTAGATCGTTCGTTCACCCGGTTTTGGAGCGTAGATCTGAGGCAAGAACAACCGTTTACTGCATCACATGGACAATTATTTGCAATTGGCAGTGATGACGGGACATGGTACTTGTGAAGCCAAAAACTCTCCCTCAGTCCCATGGATGAACTGGTGTTGAACGTGTCGTCATGTCCCATGGGTGGTTTGGGTGATTTGGCATTTTGACCAAGTAACAAGAAGCTACTAGGAGCAAGAGCATCACTACTAGTAGCTCCTGGCATTCTTACTACTAGTAACAAGAATTAAGCTACTAGGGGAACAATTGCATCGCTACATATCGCTACTAGGAGCAAGGTGTAACTTCTGCGGACCAAACTTGAGGTCAACTGATGGCCAGATCGGTTGGGTCCGTCTTCATCCAAGCTCCTGGAAGTTGCAGCTCGGATCAGACGAGGGTTTTGGGTGAGTTGTTTGCAGTTTTTTTTGTTTGCCGATTTCATCAGATGTTTGCATGTTCTTTCTTGTGGTTCTGAAGATGATTCTGATTCCTTTGAGGGTGATTCTCCCAGATGGTCCAGGCTAGAGGTCATGACCGTGCAAGCGGTTGGCACTTGACGGACGGGCTTTGGAAGAGTCAGATGAAATCAACGCAGCTGCAGGTGGACGAAACGCAGCAGCTCTTCAGAGAGGGGACGTAAACGTAATTAATATTTTTATTAGTTAGTCTTTTTAATAGTAATTAATCTTAATAAACGCAATTAGTCATTTCAATAGTAAGTAGGCAATGAGGCGATGTTTTCAGTGATTGACATGGAGTGGTCGGGGGCATCTGGTACTTCTCAGTGTTTTCGGTGTCCACCTTGTTTGGTGAAATGCATGGTTTGCACGACCATCTCAGCTCCTAAGCATTGAAAAGGATCATTGCCCCCTTTGGGTGAGGCTTTCTAAGTCTTGGGACACTCAGGTGGTCAAAGCACTACACCGTGCGGGCCGCGCAAAGCCTCAAAGATAAAGACAAAGTGCTCCGCGAGGCGAAAGGGAGGAGGAAGCGATGCACTTGTTCCTAATAGCTTCTTGTTACTACTAGTAAGGCACTTGTTACTAGAAGCGAGGCACTTGTTCCTAGTAGCTTCTTGGATCTTCTTCATTCTTCGATTTCATGAAGACTCCAAAAACACTCCAACCGTCCCACGGATGAGATGTTTTGCAGCAAAAATGAAGCAGATTCGTTCTGGTCCCAGATTTCCTCTCCTTGCAGAGAAGCATCTTGTCTTTTCGGTGAAACATGAACTGGCAGGATCTTGTCTTTTCGGTGGGGCAACCGACAGGGTGCGGATTCTTCAGGTGACAAAGGGAGAACACCTGCTGGCCCTCGGGCTGCCGAGAAGAGAGGAGGATGTCTTGAAAGTTCGGGTGCGAACGAAGAAGGTGACGCACTTAGAGAAGATAGCTTCTTGCTACTAGTAGTAATGGCCTCCAACCTAATAGCGATGGCCTCCACCTAGTAGCTTCTTGCCAGTGCATCATGCAAACAAACCCAGCTAGCTGCTTCGAGGTTTCTTGCTAGGAAATTAAGATAGTTAATTAAGCTGTTCCTGTGGAGGTAAATTGTGGAGATGCAAGTTCACGCCCACAAGTTGAATTGGACTGGTTGTTTCTTGCTCGTGGTGACTGCTTGGCAGCTTTCCACTTTGCTGAGTTTGTTTTTGACTCCTGCTTGGCAGTTGGTAGTTGACTGAGATAGGTACTTCTGACTGTTCCAACACTGAGCCACCCTTCGGACGTACTGCAACTCGACCATCGATGAATTGTCCCGGTCGAACACCAACCACGAGGCGAGAAAACGGACCTCGTTTCACGTCGTTTCGCCTGAGGATGGTCTAGTGGGCTGGGTTGTCGTGCGCGACAAGCAGCAACTGCTAGATTTCTGACTAAAATGCGCAGCGCGGGCGGCCGCCTGCGGCCTTCTGGATGGGATCCTTTGGATGTGGTGGAGTCCACCGTGTAGAAAGTGAATTGCTTTGTAGGTCTTTGAAGGTATGAAGACTCAATGAAGACACGCACTGAAGTGGATGAAGGATATTGATGGATATTGGATGATCTTGGATATTTGTTTTTGTCTTGAGCTATTTGCAACCGATCAGTATTCTCTATACTGTAGTTATCAAAGAGGCCGCAAAATCACCCTTCTCTGCATCCAGCATTGGGCATGTTTTTTTTTTTCTGATCAAAGAAAGACGAGGTGACCCTCAATGAGCCTCTTTTGCCCGAGTCATTCGACTGGTCAGAGAGCTTGATGAGTGACTCCCTGGCGCCAGACACGCCCGGAGATCATCGGCACCGTGGCTGCTGACCAAGAGGCCCACATCGGAACCGAACATGCATAGGGATGGACATGCTGGCGATGACTGCTGCGACTGGTCACATGTGTTGCGAAGCTAGCACATGTTTCCATGCTAGTTCTGCGAAGCTGGAGATGGACATGCTGGTCAAATCTGCCTTGGAGTTCAGGCTAACTGCAGGCTTTTTAGGTGCTTTTGAGAGAAGTGGATGCTCGGAAGCCCTTTTTCAAGAGTACCTTTTGACCCCCCAAACACGCGGCGGCACCGGCGGATGACACCCGAGACTCCACCGATGCCTCGGTCCGATGCCGGTCGTTGGTTCCCAGGAACGCCAGGAGCGGTCGGATCGCAGCGACGGCGACCTGGCCAGACTGAGAACATGCGGGTGACGGCGAGCGATTTGAGGGGGGTGATCTTGGAGAATTCGGTCTCAGACGGTGTTAGACCTCCAGTAGTCTGGATGCTTCAGACTGCTTTGGGATGAGCATGTTGTGGGGTCGATGCTCTCATGACACATGATGCTTTTCAGCGCTGGATCGCTCTGGAAAACAGGTTCGAAGATGGTGGAGGCTGTTCCTTAGCTGCAGGTTTTGTGGCGCTCAGGAAGGAACAGACTTGGGGGTGAAATCTTGGCAACGATACTGTATCTCAAATTTTGGCTTTATCAGCAAGACTTCCAAAAACTCCCTCTTCTTGTGAAAGGTGATCTAGGATAGACCAATAGAATATGACATAAGTCAAGATGACACAATATATATGCTGACTGTTACGAAGTAATAGTGTCTTTTAGGAATGCAGCAACAACGTACGTAAGTATGAGGAAGTGGTTGTGCATCGGTGGCCATTTTGGCTTCAAGTGGCCTCCCCCCACACACTTTTGAAGTGCCATGGAGATGAATGGCGCCCCGATGGAGTGGGGAGAGGTGGCGGGGGGGCCAGTGGTGGTCATCGAGGACACGATGGACGATGACGAGGGCGAGGGCGAGGAGAGTCTGACGGACCTTGCCACTAGAGTTCGTGAGCTGGAGTCCATGAGGGTGGAAGATTTCCAGCCCGAAACTCCAACAGAGAAATTTAGTCCCACGGAGCTGCA